CCGTGAGGACATCCATACCACCCCCGGCACTTCTCTGCCAAGGACCGCCCCTCCTGGTTCAGGGCAGAAGAGAATCCAGTGGGACATCACACTCGCCCAACACGACGTCCCGCCGAAGGCTGCAGGATTTGTTCAGCACTTTGATCCTCAGGCTGCGCCGGGGAAGCTCCTCGGGGGTCACCCCCTCGAAGAAGAAGTCCTCGTTGAAGATGGGGTTGCGTGTCCTCTTGATGATGGCGCTGCGCTGCCTTTGACTTGGGCCGGGCCGCAGCTGGAGGCCCACGCAGCAGTGGAGGTGGCGAGGGCTGCCCTGCGGCGGGTAGAAGCCTTCGGCGCTCACCAGCCGTACCCGCAGGCTGCCCGGCGGTTGGAGGTACTCGCTGGAGAGACGCAGCTGCCCGCCTTGGCTGACCGTCAACGTGACCTCTTTGGTCAGCCGCTGGCGGCAGCGGATCAAGCCCAGGGGGAAGAGCGGCGCCAGGGACCAAGCACCCGGCGAGATCCAGGGAGGGTCGGCCTCGCGGCGCAGGCAGCAGGGACTGGTGTCCGTCGAACTGGTGTCCTCCGTGGAGAAGGAGCTGGGACGCAGGGTGTGCGGGGAGCGGCATGCCAAGCGCCGCCGGTGCCCATAGCCATGGCCCGGCAGGAGCCCATCGAGAGGACGCATGGGCACGGGGGAATTGTACGGGGAATTTTCCGCGGAAGAGGCAGTGTCGCTGTCCGGGCCCGGAGTGGGCTGCGAAAGGGGCCTTGTCCGTGGGGAGGAAAAGCAGCCAACTTGCCCTCGGTGGGGCGGGGGCTTGCTATGGAACAGCGATTCCCGCCGCCAGGTGTTGGGGCTTTCGGGCAGGCACCCCAAGTCCATCGGGGTTGGGAGCTGGATCGTGGCGGGAGTGCCTGGGCGTCGCGTCCCGGCCTGCGGTCCCTCCTTCTGCACCGCAGCGCCCTTGTTTTTGACTGGCAGGGCTGATGCATCACCCAGCCTGGGGTTCCCAGCTGCCCGGCGGCCTTGGAGGGTGGCGAGGTTGGGTGGGATCAAAAAGGAAGGGATTGTGTCAGGGGTCAGCACATTGGGACAAGTGGCTTGGACGTTGCGAGTCTTTCGCTTGGAGAACATCTCAGTTCCGGCCGGCGGAGCAAAAATTATAAGGTCGGCCCAAGACGCAAGCGAGAAGAGCCATGAGGACGAATGCTCTCACGTCGATCTGGGAGGAAATGGAAGGAAAACCAGTTAGAACCAGTTAGACCCATCGCTCCGCCTGCAAAGCAGCGTTAGAATCATCAACTCAAGCTTCCTTCGACCGCCTTCCACCATCCTGGAGGTTTTCAGACCTCTTGAGGACTAGCGGCTTACTTTGGAAACAACAACATTGCAACTCAAATGCAAAAAAATAAAAATAAAAATCAGATTTTCCCCAAATACCTCCTGCAGGTGAATAGAAAAAACAACAACAACCAGAAAGTTTTTAAAATGAACCCACAATTAA